AGGACGAGCTCAAAAGCAAGGTGGGGAGAGCCACCCCCTCTGCTACACCGACCCTTTTTCCAGGGGCTTTTGGGCCCTTCTATTCATTGCCATTACCTTTCATAGGTGTTTGCAGAAAAGATGGGCCTGGAGACAGGCTGGAACTGTCACATCTCCCTCACGCCCAATGGGGACATGCCTGGCTCTGAGATCCCCCCCTCCAGCCCCAGCCATGCAGGTTCCCTGCATGATGACCTGAATCAGGGTGAGGGTGAAGGTTTGGGGTGGGGCAGTGGGGGTGGGAGCAGGAAGAGCCTCCATAGATCCCTCCTGATAAGCACATTCCCTTGGAAAATGGCTCTGATGTCTCTGCGGGTAACAGCAAGCGGCAGGGGAGGAGCAAAGACCTGGAGGCAAGAAGTTCTGTGCCATCTGCAGGGCAAGGAGAGGCCCCCAGAAGGCTGGCCCCAAGGTGAGGGACAGGCTTTTGTCCCTACAGTGTCCCGAGAAGATGCAGAAGGGCTCCTCCTCATGGAGGAGGAGGGTCACTCGGACCTCATCAGCTTCCAGCCTACAGACAGCGACATCCCTAGCTTCCTGGAGGACTGCAACCGGGTATGTTGGCAGGATCTGTCCCATATGTCCCTATAGTGGTCCCTTAGATGGTCCATGGGAGGGAGGGGTGGGAGGAGGGGCAGGCAATCGAAGGGGAGGGATCCTGCTCCCATCCTGAGGCCACTGGCATCTCTGCTTTCTCCAGGCCAAGCTGCCCCGGGGCATCCACCAGGTGCGACCCCACCTGCAGAACATTGACAACGTGCCCCTGCTGGTGCCCCTCTTCACCGACTGTACCCCTGAGAGTGAGTGCTGCGGCCATGGGCACTCAGGCAGCCTGGTCCTGGGCACCCTGTGGGCTCTGGAGGGGTGTAGGTTTCCTGTCAAGATGTAGAGGAGCCCAGGCTGGGATCAGCTGGGGAATCTCAGTGGGCTGGTGCCATGGATGTGCTCATTCTAGAGGGGTCAGAGGTGACAATGTCCATATGATCCCATTGCTGGGGTGAGGTTGTTCCAAAGAGGGGCCCGCTTCCCATTGCCTCCTGCCCAGCACCCACAGAGAGCCCTTCCTGCCTGATTCTGTGTCATCCTGCCCTGCCCCTTCAGCCATGTGTGAGATGATAAAGATCATGCAGGAGTACGGGGAGGTGACCTGCTGCCTGGGCAGCTCTGCCAATGTGCGGAATAGCTGCCTCTTCCTCCAGAGCGACATCAGGTCAGGGGGGCACCCTAGAGCCTGTGCCAGCCTCTACCTCCCAGACCCCGGCTGGGCCTGCATGGGGCATGGTGGGAGAAGAGGGATGGGGTCTCTGCAGAGTGCAGCTGATGGGTGTGCTTTCCCCTACCCTGAGCAGCATTGCCCTGGACCCCCTGTACCCGTCCCGTTGCTCCTGGGAGACCTTTGGCTATGCCACCAGCACCAGCATGGCCCAGGCCTCGGATGGCCTTTCTCCCCTGCAGCTGTCTGGGCAGCTCAACAGCCTGCCCTGCTCCCTGACCTTTCGCCAAGAGGAGACCATCAGCATCATCCGGCTCATCGAGCAGGTGGGGGCCTGGCCAGGGGGAGGGGGAGGGCTGCAGGGCCTGCTAGGGGAACCTGGGGTGGGAATAGCTGCCCCCGACTCAGGTCCTGCCCTCCGAGCAAAGCTGTCCTGGGCAGTTTAATCTCCTCTGCTCCGTCCTCGAGGGAGTGTCGAGGACATCTGGCTCCTGGCTGAAGTTTGCCAGCTGCAGGCCCGAGGGACACCAGGCAGGCCCAGGCCATAATCTGTCCTTCTTGGTCCCTAGGCTCGGCACGCCACCTACGGCATCCGTAAGTGCTTCCTCTTCCTGCTGCAGTGCCAGTTGACGCTCGTGGTCATCCAGGTGAGGTGTGGCCAGCACAGGCATTGCCTCTCCCACCCACTGCTTTGCTCGGGGCCAGTTGAGGATCTGAGGAGGGAGGCTAGGGTAGCAGCACCACCAAGGGCCCCCTGAGCCTCTGTGAACGCCCTGGGCTTTTCAAGGTGACCCCATTGGCAGAATAGTGTTCCCCCTGGCCCCAGCTCCTCTCGGGCAGGATGTGGGCATCTGTGTGGGCACAGGGCAAGGTGGCCCTGGGGCTCCTAGGGCCTTATTATTTGCCAGAATCTAACTGTGGTTCTGGGCTTCTTTTCTGGCCTAGTTCCTTTCTTGCCTAGTCCAGCTGCCACCGCTTCTAAGCACCACTGACATCCTGTGGCTGTCCTGCTTTTGCTACCCTCTGCTCAGGTGAGCGGCCACACAGCCCCTCCATGCCCAGGCAGCAGGTCAGGATGTCCCCGTTCCTCCCCAAGAACCCTGAGTTCTGGAGGAACTGCTCAGGGTTCACCTCCTCTGGTCCAGGACGCATTGAGGGACCTCCCCTTTGTCATGTTCCATCCCTCACCAGACCTGACCCAATTCCCACAACTCCCTAAAGGCTCCCACTATGAGAATTGCAGGACAGAGGATCCCAGTCACCGCCCCTTGACCCGATCTCTGCTTTTCAGCATTTCTCTGCTGGGGAAACCCCCCCATAGCTCCATCATGTCGATGGCAACAGGAAAAAACCTTCAATCCATTCCCAAGAAGGTAAGCAAAGCAGACCCCATGAGCCTGGGCCTCTCACGGAGGAACTGGAGTGTGTCCAGAGAGGCTGGGGCTTGGAGCAGGGGAGAGGGAGGGATCGGAAGGGAGATTCCATTAGACCGGGAAAGCCAGCACTTGGTTCCTGGTCTTCCCCCAGATCAAAGAGGAGGTGGTAGGGACAGAGTGAGAAAGACCCCCAGGCCTGACCATTTACTAAGAACCTATTGAACATGTGAAAAAGCAGGGGCGGTGGCAGAGGGGCCATCGGCCACAGGAGTGACTGGCCTCCCTTCTCCTGCAGACCCAGCACTACTTCCTGCTCTGCTTCCTGCTCAAGTTCAGCCTCACCATCAGCTCCTGCCTCATCTGCTTTGGCTTCACACTGCAGAGCTTCTGCGACAGCTCCCGAACCCGGAACCTCACCAGCTGCTCCTCCATCATGCTGCCCAGGTGGGGCCCATGCCTAGGGATCCGCCCACCTGCTTCCCCTCCGCAGCCCACTTCCCTGTGGTCCCAGAGGGGCTGAGCCCACACCTTGCTTTGGCAGCAACGACGAAAGGGCTCCAGCCTGGTTTGAGGACTTTGCCAACGGGCTCCTGTCGGCTCAGAAACTCACTGCTGCCCTGATTGTTCTGCACACTGGTGAGGGGCCCCCGGGGCTGATGATGTTGGGTGGGGAAGGCCCCCAAGGGCAGGGGAGGCCTTGGACCAGTGGGAAGTCTGACCCCACCATCACCCACTTCCCCCAGTCTTCATTTCCATCACCCACGTGCATCGCACCAAGCCCCTGTGGAGAAAGAGCCCCTTGACCAACCTCTGGTGGGCCGTGACGGTGCCTGTGGTGTGAGTATCACCTGGTGGGGGGATGGCGCGGGGGTTGGGGAGGAGAGGGGTGACCGCAGGGCTAGGATTGCAGGGTGGGATGGGGGCCAGAGGTTTAACTGTGCCCTCCTTGAGCTACTGTGGTAGTGAGGAAAGCAGGGAAAGAAGCAAGAAGACTTGGGGTTCACAGGGGGCTGCCACCTCCTCCCCTAGGCTGCTGGGTCAGGTGGTCCAGACAGCTGTGGACCTGCAGCTGTGGACGCACAGGGACAGCCGCATCCACTTTGGCCTGGAGGACGTGCCCCTGCTGACCTGGCTCCTGGGCTGCCTGTCCCTGGTCCTCGTGGTAGTCACCAATGAGATCGTAAAGCTGCATGAGATTCGGTGAGCTGCCAGCAGGTCACCTCCCTCTGTGCTCAAGAGCGTTCCCTAAACTTTTTACCCCCTTGTCAACATCCCCCTGCTCCTCTGGCATCCTGCCCTGGCCCCTCGTCTAAGGGTCTTTGCCAACCTGTACTTTAATCTCCTGCCTCACCAGGGTCCGCGTCCGATACCAGAAGCGACAGAAACTGCAGTTTGAAACCAAGCTGGGCATGAACTCTCCCTTCTGAGCCACTGGCTGCGGTGACCATAGTCGCCCTGGTCCCTGGGGCTAAAGCCAGACCCATTTCTGAGTCTGGGGAGTTGGTATCATGAATGTTTGTGGGTTTGCTCTTGCACCCTGTGGCACTGGAAGCCCAGCTCCTGGCGGCAGACCGCACTGTCTTCCTGACCTCCGGGCTCACTGTGGAGAAGCTGAGCTGGGCGGCCTCCGCCAGTCCCAGCTCTCCCCTGGGCCTTGCCAGGGCCACTCTTGAATGTATGACCTCAGGCGCTTGGTAAGGGGCTCTAGACCCCCTCACCTGTGGGCTGCCCCGCTTCAGGGTCCCCTAACCTAGTGCCCTCTCTTCTTGGGTCTGTGGGCATGGCCTCGAAGCCAACCTCTTGTGGACGTGCGACGGCAACGGCCATAGATGTGAACAACTCGAGGCTGGCTGTTGCGGGCAGGGGTGGCGGTGCCATCTCCTGGGGGCAGAGGCCTCGAGGTGGTCCTGAGTGCCCCCCCTCCCTCTGGGGGAGTCTCACGCCTGCACCTGAAGATGGAGCAAGGCCCCCACCTCGCCCTGGAGCCTCTTCCCGTGCCTGGCTTGAGCTGGCACCAGTCGGTCTTGGGGCGATCCAGCCCAGGTCTCCTCAGCCCCTGCCCCAGTTCTCCTGTGAGCAGTTTCTACTGGTGTATATTTTCTACTGGAAATGAGCCTTTTAGGAATGAATGTAGCCTGGTTTGTATTAAAACTTGTAAATGGCTTAAGAAAAACCTGTGGCCGGTCCGTGAGGCAGCCACTAAGGGGTCCACCCACTCAAGGCTGCGGCCGGCGAGGGGAGCACCAAAGGCGAGGAGGGGAGGGCCCTGGCCTTACTCCTCCACGTGGGCACGTGCCCCTTGGATCTGGCTTAGGCGAGACCCCCGAGCTCAGGGGTCCATGTCACAGATGCAGTCACACAGCCGAGTTGTATGGAATGACACTTTCATTGGTGTTAGTTGGGGGAAGAGGTTAATGGTTACAGGGCCGAGGCCTGGGCCAACCCAGGTCAGGCTTCCAGCCCTGAGGTGGGCAGTGAACACTCCTGCTGCGGTCCGAACTCCCCCCCACTGCGGCCTCTCAGGCAGTTAATAGATAGAATAAATTCCATTTATAATATATGCATTTCTCTCTGCTTAAAAAATAACATTTACAATTGAAAAAGTTTGGACTTTTGGGATCTGTTAATCCCACTGCCTCCTCCCCCTGCCACCTCTGCCTACAGTGAGGGCAGGCAGGGGCAGGAGCTGGCCTGGGTACAGCCACTGCCGCCGAGGGCACGCCCCTGCCGCGTATTTACACGTCCTATGTACACCTGCGGGGAGGGGCCCAGCCGGACACACTGCCTCCTCCAGCCGCTCAGCGCCAGGCCAGCACAGCGGGTGGCAAGAGGCATTCCCTTGGCACAGGGACTTGAGACACAGGTTGGGGGGCACAGAGAAAGCTCCCCAGAAGCCCTGCTACCCCCTCCTTCATGAGGAGAAAGCTCTTACCAGGGTCCCTGTCCAGGGGGCAGGGCTGTCGCTCAGATCACATACTGGGGAGGCCTTTGCTGAGGCGCAGAGGAGTCCCCTCAGCTAGTCAGGTTCTGATAAGTCCCCTCAGCCCCCGCCACAGGGCTGCCCCACAAGAACTGTGGTGCTGACAGCCACTGCCTTGGAGCAGCAGGAAGGAGCCCTGCTAGGGAGGGGCGCTCCAGCTGGACCAGCCCTCTGCCTGTCCCTAGGGTGGCAGGGGCTGCTTCTGCGCTGGAGCAAGGGCAGTGGGCACTGCTGAAGGGCCACAGGACGTCTAGCTCAGTCCAGCATGGCGTCCAGCTGGTCAGCCAGGGCGTCGAACATGGTGCTGATGTCATCCAGAATGTGTCTGGTGGAGGTGCCGGGGGCGCTGCAGCAGGGGAAGGACGGATCAGATGAGCTCAGATGAGCTCGGGGTCCACACCCTGCTGGCCCCGGGAAGGGAGCTGCCACTGAGCCCCTGTGTTGGTGCCAAATACTTTGTGCCATCTTCTCTTACTTTCAAAACCTCCCAAGGGAGTTACCGTCTCTTATGGACGAGTTCACATGCCTCTAAGTGGCAGTCACCAGGATTCCCTCAAGGTCAGATGTGGGTACCGCCAGCACCTGGGGTCCTGCCCAGCCCAAGGCCCTGCCTTCAGTGTCCCCTCCAACACCCCCAGGAGCCTTGTGAGCTGTTCCTACACCCGGCCTTCTCTCCCTCCCACCCAGCCCCCTCACCCCTCTCGCTCCTCGGTGCCAATGCTCTTCTCCGCAGCCCTCAGTGCAGCTGCCAGGGACGAGCTGGTCTGTTCCAGTCTCTGCTGAGCCCGGCCTGGGCCCATAGCCCCAGTGCTCTCGGGCCTCGGAGGAGGCACCGGGCGGGGGCCGAGCCGGGGAGCCAGCTTAGGGCCAGAAAATGCCAGCTGGGTACAGGCCACGGACACAGGCTTCGGGGTTGTTCCTGCAGAGACAAAAAGGTTGGCTTGGGACTCTGCTGGGCCAGATAGAACCCTGCAGACAGGCGCCCTCTCCCTGCAGGCCTCGGCCCTCACCTGTGCCGGGCACCTTGATGAGGGCAGCGGGGGTAGCTGGGGGCTCCGTCTCCCCATTCCACCGACTGCCTGCTGAGTTTTCCAGACCCAGCCCAGGGCAGGGGGGGACGGGGGGCACGGAGGGCTGCATTGTGGGGCTGGGAGGATGAGGGGCCACAGCTCCTTGAGGTGGAAGGTTGCTGGGCTTGGGCTGGGGAGGACTGGGAGAAGCAGAGGAAGGTGATTCGCTGGGAGCCTGGGAGGCCAGGGGGACAGAGGGGCCAGGTGTGGCACTGGCCACGCCGAAGGCCAGCAGTGCTGTCTGCAGCGGCTCTCTCTCCCGACATTTGGGCCTGCGTTTGACAGTGTCTGACTCTGTGAGGTTGAAATCGAGGCCGGGTGTCACAGGCGTCTCCCGGGGCGGGGGGCCAGCTGGCTTCGGCCGCTGTTTGATGGTCAGGTTCCCCTCCTCTGCAAACGGCAGCCCTTCCCCTGAGCTGCCCCGAGATGGGGGTGTCCCCTCAGGGCCTGGCTCCTCCTCCTCCTCTGTGTCTGACACGGGGCCAGCGGGGGCAGGTGGGCCAGGGGGCTCAGAGGGGCCAGTTGGTTCACTCAGTGTTCGTCTTCGAGGCCCTGCAGCCCCGTCCTTGGTCCCTGGGCTCCCATCGAGTGGAGGTGGCTCCGGGGTGGGGCCAGAGACAGAGCTGAGGCGCTTGGGGGGTGGGGGTGGGGGGCCTTTGCGTCGAGCCCGAAGGGCAAAGGACTGGCTGCGGGGAGCCCCTCGAGTTGGGGTCGGGCTAGGACTGGTCCGGGTGAGAGTGCTGCGTCCCGGTCGCCGGGTAAGGGTGGCATAACTGCCCAAGGTGCTACCCACTGGCCCTTCGGCTTCCCCTTCACCTTCCCCCTCGGTGGGGCCTGAGCGGCTCAGGCTGTGGGACCGGCGCTTGGGCCGAGGTGGGTCCGGAGGGGTGGGCAGGGTGGCAGGGGGTCCGGCCAAGTAGGAGAAAGCCCGAGGTGCACCAGGAGGTGGCCCTGGGGCCGGGCTGGAGGGTGAGCCCTGGGGGTACATGAAAACGTAAGGGGGAGGTCCTTGGCCTGGAAGTGGGGAACAAAGCTTGGGGGGCCGCTCTGTGCCCTCTGGAAGGTTCCTCTCCTGTGGGGTGCTGCAGTCTCCACCACTGAGCTGGGGAGCAGGCTGTTCCTGTGAGTGACCAGACCCCCGTGAGCGTGCCCCGATGCTCTCCTGGCTGGGGGAGCGGGCAGGCGGCAGGGGGAGCGGCTCAAGGCCACTCCCTGCCATGGCTGCCTGTAGCTCTGGGCTCAGCTCGCTGCCCTGAAAGGTGAGGAGGCGTGGGCCAGCCGCAGCTGGACCCTCCCCATTCTCCAGCCCCTCGATGGCCATCAGCTCTGGACCCCTGGCCAGCTGGCGCCCGCCTTCACCTAGGGCCTCCCCCTGTAGCAGGCCCCGCCGAAGCTCCGCCAGCCGCTTCACCCCCAGCATGAGCTTCTTCTGATGCCCTGAGAGGGGTGGATGGAAGCGGCAAGGTTAGCTAGGCCTGGAAAGGGTCACCCCGGTCACCACTGGACCCCACTCTCTCTTCTCTTGGAGAGCCCCGGAGTCATGTGAGGCCCAGCCAGAAAGCCTCCAAGCAGGCTCACCGAGCTTGTTGACACCGATCTCCTGCAGCTCCTCCCAGGTGAGGTCGGCCACCAGCCCCATGGAGTCATAGCCACTGCTCACCAGCTGTTTGTGGTACTGTGGCAGCCCCAGCGCACACAGCCACTCCAGCAAGTCCGTCTGGAAGAGTGCCAGCGTTGAGAACTGGCTCCCTGCCATCCTCTGCCCCCAGGCCAGAAAGGAAAAGACACAACACAGCACAGCTGAGGGCGAGAGCCCGTGCCACCACCCGCCACCCACTCACCGGGATGTAGCTGGGCAGCCACTCAGCGATACTGAGCTGAGCGATCTCCGAGGCAATCTTCTTCCTGTGCCCAGGCTTGGTCACCCCAATGGCTGTCAGGTCCTGCCACACAGAGTCTGACCATCAGGGCCCCTCCTCTGCCCACTGGGCCCTCCCAGTCCTCCCCAGCTATGGCACCTACCTCAGGCGTCATACGACTGATGGTTGGCACGTCATAGCCAGCCTGCAGAAAGTGGGCAGTGTAGCCCTCCAGCTGGAACTCGCTCAGCCAGTTATGAATGGCTTGCGCATCCTGCGGGGTGAGGGAAGCGGGCAGAATTAGCAGGAGCTGAGCCAAAGCCCCTGCCTCCCCAGGGACTTAAGTCCATACAAAGGCCCTCCAGTCTCCCCCAGACCCGGAGTGCACTCCCCAGTGAAGGCCACACCTTCCCCTCCAGCAGCTGTTCTGGCCTCACGTCCTGGGTGAAGATCTGCTCCCCAGAGCGGTAGTTGGCCAGAGGGCGGTGGCTCAGGTTGTCTTCAAGGAGGGAGAGAAATAGAATTGGAAGTGGCAGGAGGAAGGGGTGCCAACCCCTCAGCCTCCCCACCTGTACCTCTCCTAGCAGCCCAGGTTCTAGTTACCCTTCCTACCTGCCAGGGACAGGGGGTGCAGTCCTGGCAGTACCTGGTCCTCTCCGGCAGAGGGCAGTGGCTGAAGAGAGGGAAGGAGGCAACTCAGCGTTTGGGGAACTGGCAGTAGGGGGTGGGCCCTACCCTGGAACTAGTGTCCCCTCCTTCCTACCTGGGCATTCTCAATCAGAAGGCCAGTGCTGTGGCCATTGGTGCCCTCAGAACTCTGTCCGCTGCCAGCGCTGCGGATGCTGCCCACACTGCCCTCACTGCCCACGCTATTCCTGTCACCTGCTGCAGAGGGCAGAAGCAAAGGGGTCAGAGCCCAGGTGGCACTGCCAACAGCTGACTGGCAGCTTACCCAAGCCTGACGCCCACACCAGTGCCCAGTGCTGCACTCTGGGAGGATGTACCTGGGCTGTCTGCACTAAGGCCCATCCGAGGGAGCTGGCCATAGGTAAGAGGGTGCAGGGGGTCTTCGGCAGGAGGCTGCGGTGTCCGGGAGAAGCCTGGACGCAGGGGGGTGGGCACAGAGGGGAGGCGGGGCACAGGGACACCCACTCGCTTACTGACCACCTCGACGATGCCTGGGGGAAAGTAGCCCACACGGTCCGTGCCCCTTTGGCTCTCGTGGATGTGGCCCTTCCAGCGGCCATCGGGGTGTTGCTCAAGCACCTGCAACGGGGCGGGGAGGGGATGGTCACTCCCAGCACCAAGCAAGGGGCAAGCAGCTGTCCCTGCAGCCAGGCCAGCAGCCCAGGTCCAGCTCTCCCCTATCTCCAAGGAGCTGGCCTTGGATGCCCAAACTGGCCCAAGTTCCTCCCCTCTGCCAGTATCCACCACAATCCCCAATGTGCCTCCAGGGCCAGCCTGTGGTCGAACTCAGCTCCACTACTTGCTAGCCGCGAGACCTTGGCCAAGTCACTTTCATTTCTCTAATTTTAGTTTAACTTCTCAATTTTGTCATCTCTAAAACAGAATTGGTAATAGCACTACCTTTTCTGATTTTGGAAAGAATTAAATGAGAGTGCATACAAAGACCTGAGCCTAGGGCCTGGGCACCCACACAGTAGGTGCTCAAATAAGTAACAGCGATCATTTGTATTGGCAAAGGAATGCCAGCAGGGGGTCCCTCACCGTGATGATATCCCCTGCCCGGACATTGAGAGCAGTAGGATCATGAAGATTCCAGAAATCCTTGAGCGCTCGCACCTTTAGGATCCCTGAGGCCTCTAAGAGAAGGGTGGGCAGGTGTCATCTAAGGGCCCTCTACCCAGCTGTCCCCCAGGACATCTGCTCCCCTCCACATCCTGGTACCTGCTGAGCAGCACCAGGCCCCCAGGAGGGGTCTCCGCCCCTGCACTCACCTCGCAGCAGCTGCTTAATTTCCCGGCTGGCCTGGGAGGTGGTGAACTGATTCACGATGTCCAGTGCCGTCTGGTTGTATGTGTTCCGGATGTTCACGTCCACTCCTCCCTGGGTGCACAGTGTCGCCTGAGCATGCACTGAATACTCTGCCTATCATCTTTCAACTACCCAGGAGGTGGGTATTATTATCATTTTCAGATTTTACAAATGAGCAAATGGAAACCCAGGGACCAGGTCAAGGACGAGCTCTAGGTCACTCAGCTAGTAAGAGGCAGACTTGAGGTTCAAACCAGGTTGATCTGCTCTGAAGCCACACGGTCTTGGCACCATTCAAAAGGAAGTCAGGCCCCTTCTCCAACCCCCATGCAAAAACCATGCGAGTGGTAGAGCCCTCCCTCCCGCGCCCCCCCAGCCAGTCTGGGCACACAGCAGAGGCTGCCGTGTACACCTGTGGGGTGACCAAGTGCTCACACCCACCTCCAGGAGCAGCCGTACCACCTCAGTCTTGCCATACAGCGCGGCCTCGTGGAGCGCCGTGCCTGTCTTGGTCTGGCGGTTGATCTCAATCCCGGCTCTCAGGAGCTGCCTGTGGCAGGAGAAGGGGTCGTGGGGGCTGGGGGCAGGAGGGAAAGCAGCCTGCCAGGGGCTGGGGGGTTGAGAGCAAGGGTGAAGAGGGTGGCAGGGGAGGGTACTGTGGGGCACTGACAGTCCCCCACAAAGGGGATGAGGAAGTAGGGGGACATCGGGGATACCTGATGACTTCTCTGTGGCCATTCTTGGCAGCCAAGTGCAGGGGTGTGGTGTAGTTAGGGTCACATGGGTCCTTGGCCTCACCCTCCAGCAGCGCCACACACAAGTGGCTATTCAGTAGCAGCTGGGCCACCTGCAGCACCCAGCACCCAGTTAGAGCCTCCTCCTGAGACCCCGCAGGCATTCAGGACCCAGCACCCCCAGGGCTGCAGGCCTCACCTTGAGCCTCCCAAATTCACAGGCCAGATCTAGCGGTGTCTTTTTGGCCTTGTTGACCAGGCACGGGTTGGACTGATGCTGGAGGAGCATTTCTGACTGGGGTGGGGGGAGCGGAGTGAGGGCCTGGCCTTCCCGGCACCTGCCCCCAGGTCCCCGTGGGCAGGCTCACATACCACTTCGTAGTGTCCGTACTGCGCGGCCAGGTGCAGAGGGATCTGCCCGTCCAGCGAGGCGGCATTGACGGCTGCGGAGGCCCGCAGCAGCAGCCTCACGGGCTCCAGCCGGCCCTGCCAGGCTGCGTAGTGCAGGGGGCGCATGCCTGGCAGGAGGGAAGGGGTTTCTGAGGGAGGTACTGGGCGTTGAGCAGAGCACAGAGCCACAGCCAGGAGGGCAGACAGCTGGAGGGGATGTGACTCTGGCCTCGCCGGGTGTGGTCAGGAAGCGGTCCGACTGTATGGGGCTGAAGCCAGAGTCCCACTGTGCCCACCACGGATAATCTGGTGACCCCAGGACAGCAAAGTAACCTCTCTGAGCTTCCAACTCTTAATCTGAATAACAGGACAACAGCACTACCCCATCCCAGAAGGCTGTGAAGATTAAAGAGGGAAAAGCCACCTACAAGCCCAGAGAAGCTACACAGGCATCTATCAGCACTGCCACCTTTTAACAGGAGTGAGCTCTGGTCACGGGGTCTGGGCAGGGGGCCCACTGGGGTCTCACCATTGCTATCCTTGATGTCAACGGTGGCCTGCGCCTCCAGCAGCAAGGCTATGAGCTCCAGGCTGCCCCCCAAGGCAGCATGGTGGAGAGCAGAGAATCTGGTGTGGGGGACACAAAGTAGGGGTTATCAGTGAACAGTCCCCCACCCCCAAACCATGGTCTTCCATACTGGAACCCATCCTGGGGGCTGGCAGGGATGGGTTACTTGCCCCCCTCCCCACCCCCGCCAGCCCTGCCGTGGGAGCGCAGCAGCCGGGCCGCAGCATGAAAGGGCTCAGTGTCTGGGCTGAGAGGCCTGTTTGTCTGGCCTCCCCCCGAGCCAGCCCAGGGGAGGGGGCCGTGGGAGCAGGAGCCCGAGGGTTCCTACCCTCCAGGGAGAAAAGGGGGCCCAGCAGGAATCTGACTCAAGAAGGCCCCTAGGAGAGGCACCAGGGCCCCTCCCCTCACTCAGGGTAAGGCCACAGGCAGGAAGGTAGGCAGGACCCCTCCCTCTGGACCTACACGGGCAGGACCCAGAGCTCTCAGCAAATACACTTCAGGGCCAAGTCCGAGAGAAGGGGCTCTGGGCCTCAGGGCCTTTCCCCCTGCCCCTCCCCAGGGCTCCACTCACCCATCGGCATCCTGGTAGTTGACGTTGAGCCTCTTCGTGGAGCCCAGGAGCTCTGGGGGCCAGGGCGGGAGGCAACAGGCACATCAGGTGACTTGTCCTCACCTAGCGTTCCCACCCCCCATCTCTCAAAGCCTGCTGACCTCTTGGTGTGCAGGAAAGCACCTGCCCCATGGCCTTTCACCGGTCCTGTCCCTGTGGCTCCTACCCTGGCCCACTGGGCTGTCAGCTTGAAGGCAGGGAGCTGCTGCAGCAGTGGCCTGGCTTCCCGGGCCCCGGCCTCGCTTGTTTATAGCGCCGAAAGGGGGGTACTGGCATGATGTGCCCTCAGCAGACAGGCCCACGGAGTGCATGGTTAGCATTCCTGCCTGAACGGGCCAGGGAGCAAGTCACATCGTCCTACTGGTCCCAGCGGGGTGGAGAGAAGGGAGGGGGCACTAGGTATTCAAGAGAAGGACTTATGCCCACTGAAGGGCCACAGTGCCAGTCCTGGTGGGGCATCCCTCAGTGGAGCATGGTGGGGAAGGTGGCATCAGACCTATAGCTCACTGTGGCTCTGCCAGGTGCCAGCTCTGTGGCCTTGGGCAGGTCATTTAACCTCTCAGGCTCAGTGTCCTCATCTGTAAAACGGGTTGATCACAGAACCTGCCCACAGAGGCTGTGAGTACAGTGCTCGACCTTGTTAGCATGCGAAGATGGCAGCTGTCACCATCTAGCCCTCCTTACGTGTTGGCCAATACTATCATGATGTTATTCCTCCAGCAACAGCTGGCACAGTCCCCCACTCTCCCCCTGGATCTCGGCGGGTTCTCAGCCTGCCTGAGGAGTAACTGCTGACTCTGCACTCACAGGCTGTGAGCTGAGCTGTCCATGCCCCGGGCAGGGGCGCTCTGCTGGCTGGTGGCACCTCTCTCAGGGGCAGGGTTTATGCAGGTGTGCTCCCTGCGCGAGCCAGGGCACTGGTGGGGGTGGTCCTTGAAGCAATGGGGACGGGAAGGGGAAGGCCTGTCTCAGTGGCCCCTGCTTCCCGCTGGAACCCACCCCTGCTGGGAAGGAGGGGGCCTGGCTCGACCCAGGCTGGGCACAGTGCCAAGCATGCTGGTCCAGGCCTGCCCCCCAGGCTCTGGTGGGCCCCTGAATATCCCGGTAGCCTGGGCAAGACAGGGCCTCATTCCAGCAGGGAGGGACCAACCCTGCAATGGGGAACATGGGACAGGGAGGAGAGGACAGCTACGTTTAGGGCTGAGCCGAAGGATACTACGCAAAAAAGGCAAATACAGAGCCCAGGAGGGACAGGTGAGCTGATGCTGTTGGGGCCACTGGGAAGAAACACACACCTCCTAGTTTCCCTCCAGCCCCCTTGGAAAGTCCTTGTCACACAGAACCATGTGGGGCAATGGAAAGAACAGGGGCCCTAGAAGCAGGAAATGCATGGTGCACATGCTCACTCTGCCTCTCTGGCTGTGTGACCTTGGCCAGTTGTGGTACCTCTCTGAGCCTCAGTAAAGATGAGGTCAGCAGGGAAGAGACTAAGAAAGTCCTTCATCCCGTCCACCCTTTCACCGGCCTGGACAGTTTGGGATGGGGCAGCTGGGTGGCGGGATGCAGCCCCTCTGGGGAGGGACAGGAACAGGCACAGGCCTGGGCAGCTCCGTTATTTCCAGAACAATGGCCGGAAAGGCAGTGGGGGAGAGGTTCAGAGTGACTGGGCTGGGGACCTCGGCAGGAGGGTGGAGGGTCCTGGTTCCTGGCAGTGGTTCCAGGCACTTCTGCTACAGCATAGCCTTCTTCCTGGGCCTGGCTCTGGGGGTGGAAGGGTCACTCCTGATTTAGGCTCTCGGGCAGAGGATGTGAGCTCAGCCGGCCACCCCAGCCCACTCTATTTCCTCTGGCCAAAGAAGGAGACTGCTCAGGAAAGGGAGTGGGGAAGAGGGAGGGGCCAGGGCAGGGCCAGGGCTGCCGCACCCCTTCCTCCCACCACCTGCTCCCCAAAGAGGACCTGGGAGGGGGCAGGGAATGCCACCAGACATCAAATGGAGGAGGCTGAGAGAGTACCTGCCTCCCCTCTGCTCTCTTTTTGGATAGCCAGAAGCTCCAGCTACCCTCCCCAAAGGAAAAAGGGGAGTCCTGACACCTCCCTTCCAGCAGTTTCTGTTGCCTCTCTGTGGTATGGAGGAGTTACCAGCCCCACTTCTGGGAACTGCATTAGAATCACCTGGAGAACGTTCTAATTTGCAGAGTCCCAGGCCCTCTGTGATTGAGTCTAATTTTGGGGGCAGTCCGGGGAGTCTGAACTTTTAGAACAATCGGTAGGCAGGTGCAGCAGTGCATGCCTGTAGTCCCGGCTACTTGGGAGGCTGAGGCAGGAGGATCGCTTGAGCCCAGGAGTTTGAGATGAGCCTGGGCAACACAGCAAGACCATGTGTCTTAAAAATAAATAAATAAATAAAAAATAAAAGAACAGGGCCGGGCGCGGTGGCTCACGCCTGTAATCCTAGCACTCTGGGAGGCCAAGGTGGGCGGATTGTTTGAGCTCAGGAATTCGAGACCAGCCTGAGCAAGAGCGAGACCCCGCCTCAACTAAAAATTAGAAAGAAATTAATCGGCCAACTAAAAATATATAGAAAAAAAATTAGCCGGGCATGGTGGCGCGTGCCTGTAGTCCCAGCTACTTGGGAGGCTGAGGCAGAAGCATCACTTGAGCCCAGGAGTTTGAGGTTGCTGTGAGCTAGGCTGACGCCACGGCACTCACTCTAGCCCAGGCAAAAGAGTGAGACTCTGTCTCAAAAAAAATTAAAAAAATAAAAATAAAAATAAAAGAACAATCCCTAGATAATTCTGACCTAGGTAATCCTTAGGTAATTTTGGGGGCAGCCAAGTGTAGAGCACAGGTCACAGCTTTGCCTCTGATCTGCCACAGGATGGCTATGTGACTTTGGGCAAGTCACTAACCCTCTCTGAGCATCACTTTCCTTATCTGTAGAATAGATATAGAAATACCTATCTCACAAGGAAGTGAGAAAATTATAACATTTCATAAACTGTAAGGTTTGCGAATGTCACCTTGTGATCTCACTTTTGTCACCAGCCTCTCCAGCTCCTCAGAGGACGGGGAGGAGAGGCACGGTGCCAGGCCCTAGTCATACTGCCTGCACCTGCACCCTGTGCAGGGTGACTTTTCCCCTTTGGGGCTGAAGGCAGGGACCTCTTCACCCACAGACGTTTCCCACTGGGCACAGGGGACCTTGGAGCCAAGGAGCCCAGCTGTGAAGTTCCCACCACCAGCCTCCAGACGCCCCCTCCCCCGCCTGCCCTCCTGAGTGCCTCACTTTGAGGCCCCAGGGCCATGAGGCCAGTGGCCTGACCAAGGCCCCACTGGGCAGGTTGCCAAAAACAACACAGAGGAGATGGGGGAGAGAGAGCGGCTCCCGCTCTTGGGCCTCAGGGCTCTCCCCCGGGACCTTGTTAGCATCTTCCCTGGTGTCCACTTCCCCAGGCCATAGAGACCACCCCCTACAGCTCCATCTCTCTGAGCCCTGGGTCCCCACCGTGGTGTGCAAAAACCCTTCCTTCTGGCATCTCGCATAGGTGTGGGTGGGGATAAAGGTCTTCGAGTATCCTGGGGGATTCCTTCCTGTGTACAGGGCCAAGGTGTGTCTTGGGGCCAGACCCCACCACTGCAGAAAAGACCCTCCTATCCAGGGAACTCCTCCTCCAGCCTCATTCTGATGGTAGAAACCACCTCCTGCCCCTGCCGGTCTGGGATCTCAAGGAGATAAGACAACCTAAAAGTCTAGTCTCCTTGGGGGTCTCACCATAGAGGCACCCAAGAGATGGGGCTCAGGTGTGGCCACCTGTGCATGGAGCCCCCACAGTCCTGTCAGGACTACAACCCCCAGGCTACGTGGAAACCTCTAGAAAATCAGCTTTGGCCACACCCCCCCCAGGGGCAAATGCAGATCAGTTAGGGGAAGAGGGGTTTTATTTTATTTTATTTTATTTTTTTGAGAAAGAGTCTTGCTCTATTGCCCGGGCTAGAGTGAGTGCCGTGGCATCAGCTTAGCTCACAGCAACCTCAAACTCCTGGGCTCAAGCGATCCTCTTGCCTCAGCCTCCAGAGTAGCTGGGACTAAAGGTGTGTGCCACCATGCCCGGCTAAGTTTTTCTATTTTTAGTTGCCCAGCTACTTTTTTTTGTTTTTAATAGAGACAGGGTCTCGTTCGTGCTCAGGCTGGTCTCAAACTCCTGACCTCAAGCGATCCTCCCGCCTCGGCCTCCCAGAGTCCCAGGATTACAGGCGTGAGCCACTGCACCCGGCTGAGAAGATGGGTTTTAGCAAGTAAATGGTGTTGAACTTTTTTTTAAAGTAGTAGAACTCTCTTTATACACGATAACTTAGTGGGGGTGTCAGTAAGATAAGACATAACACAGAGAGGCTGTAGTTGAAGCATGTGTGTATGGGGTTGGGGTGAGGATGGTGTTCTATCTATTCAGTCTTTCCCAGCCACTGCCAGAAACCCCCTGGCTCCATAAAACACATATGCAAAACCACCTGCCTCAAGGCAAGTCCATGAGGGCAGGGATTTTAGTATGTTTTGTTTTTTGTTCACTGCTAGAGACCAGTGCTTAAAACAGAGCCTGGCACAAAATACACACTCAATAAAAATGTGAATGAAGGTACTTAAACCCTCTCACTCTGTAGGCAAGGAAACTTCAGCCCAGAGAGATTAAGTGAGTTGCCTAAGGACACGCAGTAAGGGGACCCAACTTCTTCTCTGGCTCTCCCATGGAGGCATTTCTTGTCCAAAACAAGACAGTCTTCTCTCCTCGAGTATGCATATCACGATGACATCCCCTCCCCCAAGCCTCTGTGGCTTAAGCACTCAGGAAAGGCCTCGGCCAGAGGGTCACCCCACCAAGTACTCACTTGTTTTTGCAGCCTTGACCTTAGCCACCAGTTTCTGCACACCAGTTACATCTCCGTTCTTGACAGCAAGGATCAGGTCCTGCTCACGACCCATCCTGGCCCCTGGGCCGGGCTCTGGGTTGCGTCCAGGGCAGAGGCAGGCAAACTGGTCCAAGCCAAGGTGTCAGGGAGCCATGTCTCAGCCCCCTGGAGAGCTCCTGGTCCCCGGGGAGCACGTCTGGTGTCCCAGGCAATGGGCTCCTTGTCAGGCGCTGATGGATATTCCCTCAAGGTGCTCCGTGAGCTGCCACCACAAGCAGGAAAGCCAGTCTCTGAGGGGGTGGAGGCTACGTGGAAATCTGGACGGATATCAGCTTTCAGCTTTCAGCTTCCGACGGCCCCGGGATGGGCCGGGACTGGGCACGCCAATCTTCCCGGCTTGGCTGGGCAGCACGGATGCCCACCCAGAGAGCAACCAGCATTCCCTGGGGCCTCAGGCAGCCGCGGTAGACAGGTCTCAGGGGTCTGGAAAAGGTGCAGTGCCTCTGTTGAAGCCTGGGCAACAGTCTACAAGGGTCTCAGCAGCAGGGCACAGAGGATGAGCAGGAGAGGACCTCCAGGGAGCCCCCAAGCCACCCTGGCTGCCCCTGGGAGTCAAGGGAGGGGCTGAGCCACTCAAAGTGGGGAGGAAGCCGTCATGCAGAGAGGAGTTTGTGGAGGGGGGAGGTGGTGTTCTGGGAGGGGGAGGCTGAGTCACTGGGGCCCTAGGGCACCTGGCAGCACCTCCACCTTGGGCAGGAGGGGCCCTGGCAGCACGACACACTGGGGCAGGCCAGGCCAGCACCCTGTTCTCCACAGCCCCAGGCTCCAACACCCACAGACAACTGGCAGGCCAGGAGGTGGGGCCTGGGAGGGTCAGGCACCGGCAGGCGGGCAGGGGTCACTCCCTGTCAAAGGCGCCTACCCCCACACTCCTCCCTACCTCGGCTTTACTTTATGAGCTGGAGCTGGATGCCCTAGCCCCAGGGCTCTTTATGATTGAGGGCATGGAATGGGGGGCTTATGGCCCCTCATTTCTGCTTGCTGGAGAGGGACGCTTTACAGCACCTGTTCCTGACCCATCCTCACCCCTGGCGTGGAGCAGCTGGGCAGAGAACAGAGACAGAGCTGGGGCATTGCTGACAAAAGGGGCTCCGGGGCCCCCCAACCTTGAACCTGAAGCCCAGACCCTCGACTTCACTGTAGAAAAGCTTACGTCAGTTCCTCGGTGGCGGCGAATTTGTTGCCAGAGTCTTGTGGCATGAGACCCGTACAGGCCTGGGGCCCTGGCTGGGAACCCCTCACTCCCAAAACGTCCCAAGCTCAGTCCAGAGGGCACTCCCCCTCAAGGCCCAGGGCCGACAGGAGGGGAGGCGCGCCTGGCAGCGCCTGGGGTCGGGCTGGCTCCCCCGCCCCCCGGAATGCCCCTTCAGCGCCGCGCAACCCCCCAGCCCAGCCCAGCCCAGCCCAGGCCGACCCGGGAACAAAGCGGCAGGAGGAACCGGAGGGCCAAGAGCCGAAGGTACAGATGCGGAGGAAGGAAAAAGGGGGCGCGAGGAGGACGGAAGGAGCGGAGAGATGGAGGCGCCCGCCAATCCCGCAAAAAAAGTTAGTTTGTGCCCGCCCTCAAGGGTGCTGACCCCCGGCTCAGGTCCCGCAGTCTCACCTCGCCCGGCCGTCCCGCCGGGGGTCCGGCTGGCCCTGCTCTGTCCCTAGCACTCAGGACGGTGACTCCCACGGCCCCCCACCCCCTTCTCCTTCTCCTTTTCCAAGGCCGGCTCGGCGCCTCCCGCAGGAAATCCCGCCCCTCCCCCGTCCCTCCCGCCGGATCGGGAGAGAAGGGACGGTCCCGGCCGCGCAGTCGGGCTGTCAGTCAGCGCCTGCGGCCCCGCCCCCGCCGCGCCGGGCCCCGCCCCCACCGCGCCAGTCCAGACCGGGGGCGCGGGCCTGAGCGGCGCATGCGCCCAGGTGAAACGGAGCGTGGAGGTTGCGAGTTCGCGCTCCGAGTGCAGGTTGTGGAGCTGAAGCGACCTGGGGCTCTGGAGTCGAGACCCAAGGGCGAGATACCTTGGGTGTGACTGGTGGGAGAGAAGACGTGATGGGAAGGGATTTGGCACCCAAGACCCGGGGACCCCACTTGGGTAACCCCCTTCCTCTCTGCCCTTCGCCCTTCCCGGGACTCCCGCAGCGATCTCCGCCCGCAGCCAGAGAGGCCGCCCCACAGCCGCGGGCCGGAGCAATGGTGCCACCTAGCGGACGGCGTCGGAGCGGCTCGCGTGGCGGCGGGGGGACCCCAGCCTCCAGGAGGTGCTAATGGAGGGTTGCGGTGGCGCTTCAGCACCGTTGTGGGCCGGACAGCGCCTCCCACCTCAGGCCATCGAAACCCGTCCTCGGAGCCACTCGGAAGGACCCAGCCGAAGACCGTGGCGGAACTCTGAACATCCGCGGACCGCTCCTCACAGTCCCCGGGCGGCCTTAAGTTTGCAGAGCTGAAATTTGGGGGCCATTCTTCTTCCTCCTTGCCCAGCCCGGGCGGCGGAGGGTATGGCCACACATTTGACAATTCATACTACACTCACAGACGTCCAGTCCTCAATTTCTATGAGAGAGGAGCCCAGAGGAGGGCTGGGGACAGGAGAGGGAGCTCCTGCATGTCCAGAAATCTGCAAACTAAACTCTCAGCCCCCGGAATCGAGGCACCCGTCACTGGCAGGCACTCGGACCCAGGACAGCAGAAGGGCGGAGAGCGGTGGGTGGAAAGGCGGACTTCGGGAGCTCAGCTCCGAGCCGCGGACGCTAGGGCCGCGCGGATTCCGGTGGTGGGCGGGGCTTGGGCGGTGCGCGCGCAGCCGCGGACGGCAGCCAGATGGAGCCCGAGCCCGAGCTCGTGGAGGTTCCCGCGGGGCGCGTGCTCAGGTGTGGCGCGGCTCCTGGGCGGCGTGGGCGGGGTCCAGAAGTAGGCAGGTGGCCTCGATGCGCAGCGCTGACCCCGTGTCGCCTTCTCCGCCAGCGCCCGGGAGCTCCTCGCTGCCCGCTCGCGGCCCCAGAAGCTGCCCCAGCGCTCGCATGGCCCTAAGGACTTCCTCCCCGATGGCTCGGCGGCCCAGGCCGAGCGGCTGCGCCTGTGCCGGGAAGAGCTCTGGCAGCTGCTGGCCGAGGAGCGCGTGGAGCGCCTGTGAGAGGGGCGGGCCCGGGGCGGGGGCGGGTCTGGGCAGGCGGGGCGGACGCACCCCGTAGACCCCTCCAGTAGACAGAGACGGACTCCTCCCCACTCCTCGCCAGGGGCAGCCTGGTGGCCGCCGAGTGGAGACCGGAAGAGGGTTTCGTGGAGTTGAAGTCTCCTGCGGTGAGCGGCGGGGCTCAGGGACAGGGGACCCGCTTTCTCCTGCCTCCTATCGTCTGTGACAGTTGCTCTGGGTCTCACACAGGGTAAATTCTGGCAGACCATGGGCTTCTCAGAGCAGGGCCGGCAGCGGCTTCACCCCGAAGAGGCATTGTATCTGCTGGAGTGTGTGAGTGGGGCCCGAGGAGGGTGGGAAAGGGTTTGGGACGGAGGAACGGGAAGAACACGTTTTTATTGGAGAAAAAGCATTCACAAGTGCGTTTTCAGAGAACTTACAACTGGACTTCTAGGGCAGGAGGCAATACCATGCAGGGAACAGGGATTCCAGTCCAAATTAGTGGTGCTGCCCCACTTTCCTTGTTGTTCATATGCTTGCTTGGATGCTGGGAGGTAGAGGGGGAAGATATCAGAGCTGGGAAGTGTCCCTATTTGACTGCGGCACTGCACAGAGGACTCACAAGCTGAGCTGCAGGCGCCACTTCCAGGGCTCTATCCAGCTCTTCCACCAAGACCTGCCACTGTCTATCCAGGAAGCCTACCAGCTGCTGCTGACCGAAGACACCATCACTTTGCTGCAGTACCAGGTATCTGCTTCCCCCTTGCCCCCCACCAGAGGAGCCACCCATCCACTGAGTAAATGAGTATTGTGTGAGGTTCCAGACACAGTGTAACATGCTGGGGCAACAAGACAGATGAGGGCTGTGCTGTCACCAGGCTTACGTTGTATTGGTGGCAATTGGAAAATAAATAAGCAAATGAACTGTTGACTTCACAGGGAACCTAGAGGTAAGTAGAAGGTAAGGTCTGGGAGGAGTAGTGGGAGAGATTGGGCTGTTGGTTCAGGTGAGAGGAGCTAGGGGCTTAGCCCAGGTTGGGGATGGGTGGAATTCCTATGTGTGAAAAGACATGGATGAATCTCAGACCTGTTTTGGAGAAAGCATGGATAGGACTTTGCCAGTGCATTGGATATCAGGGTCAAGGAGAGAGAAGAATCAAGGATTACTCCCATGATTAGGGCATGAGCCAGTGGGTGAGCAGTGGTATCATTTTCTCACTGGGAAGACTGCGGACAGGCAGATTTGGAAAAATGGGACCAATCAAAAGAGCTCTATTTCAGAAAAGTTGATTTTTTTTTTTTTTTTGAGACAGAGTCTCGCTTTGTCGCCTGGGCTAGAGTCAGTGCTGTGGCGTCAGCCTAGCTCACAGCAACCTCAAACTCCTGGGCTCAAGCAATCCTGCCTCAGCCTCCCGAGTAGCTGGGACTACAGGCGTGCTCCACCATGCCTGGCTAATTTTTTTTCTCTCTATATATATTTTTAATTGTGCAGATCATTTCTTTCTATTTTTTTTTTTTTTAGTAGAGACGGGGTCTCAACTCTTGCTCAGGGTGGTCTCGAACTCCTGACCTTGAGCGATCCACCCGCCTCAGCCTCCCAGAGTGCTAGGATTACAGGCGTGAGCCACCGTGCCCAGCCCAGAAAAGTTGATTTTGAGGTGTTTCTTGGACATCCAAGTGAGGATGGCGAGCAGATAATTGGAAATCCAAGTCTGGAGTGTGGGGAGGGGTCAAGGCTAAGGACATAAACGTAGCATGGGTGGTATTTAAGCCATGGGGCTGTGTGGGAGTGCTGCCAGAGTAGAGGGCTGGGGCTGTCCATCCGAAGTAGGTTAGGCGGAATATAAGGACTGGAAATAAGCCAGGAGCCACATGCTAGTTGTCCCAGCTACTTGGGAGGCTGAGGCAGAAGGATTACTTAAGCCCAGGAGTTTGAGACTGCAGTGAGCTATGATTGACCCAGGGACTTCCAGCCTGGACAACAGAGGGAGACCCCATCTCTAAAAAAAATAATAAACGAGGACCAGAAACAGACTGAGGAGTGTCTGGTGATGCAGGAGAGAAACCAAAGTGGCACCATGGAAGCCAAGAGAAGGTATTTCAAGGAGGAAGTGTTCACCTGTATTGAAGGCTGCTGAGAGATCAAGCAAGATGGGGGACACCACCGCTCAATGTGTCCCTCTGACGTGGATACAGGGACATAGGATGAACTTGTGCCTCTTTACTAGAGACTTTTCCTGTCTGTGGAGGTGTGAGGACATGGGGACATGTCTACCATCTTCTGCCATCTTTTTGTCCAAACTGTAGTTAGGAGCTTCACTCCGTCAGTTTTAGTATCAAAATATTCGAATATTCTAGGGCATGGTTTTTTTTTCTGGGTTCAACACTATCAGCTTTTTGGGATTTGCATTAAAGTCAAGAAATTGCTAAATGTCATTTGTGCCCAGAGTAAGGTAAGTGATGGGACAGGAATTCAGAGACTGAGATCTTACTCTGGGGACGGTGCTTACAGAGTGTGGTCCAGCCCATCCCCGGGTTTGGAATCTGGAGGTGTACAGGAGGGGCATGGAGGGCTGTGAGAGGGGCTTGTGTCTGGACAAACCATTTGATGTTTTCAAGAGTGGCCACCTGAGTTTCTTTCTCTTTCTTTTCTTTTGAGGTCTTCAGCCACCTGAAGAGACTGGGTTATGTGGTTCGAAGATTCCAACCAAGGTAACGCCCTTTCCCTTTTCCCTTCCATCCGTTCTAGTCCTGGGACCTGGCTGACTGTCCTAGGTAGAGTGGTTTCTCCCTAACTGGAACCCCTGGCTGGAGTGCAGCTCCCTGGACATGGACTGGGAGCCTCCGCTGGAAGTGTTCTCTTGAAAGCCATGTTGGGACGAATCCAGGTCATTGAACTTTATCCTGGGTAATCAAATTGAGACCCGTCTTCACATAATGACTGAGCACCTACAGCTCACCGAGGGCATTGTGATGCAGGCCTGGATCAGTGCCTGCACTTAGTAGGTGTGCGGGCAGATATGTTGAGTGTATGCATGCATGAAGGACCGAGTGAGGAATCTCCAAATGAGTAGGGTTTCACACGTCTTATGCTAGGTTAGGTGCTTTTTCCTTTGTCACCTTGGTGATCCAGCATTGCTAAGAGCCACAGAGAACTTCAGACTTGGAATGGAAACTGGTAGAGCCTTTGCAGTCACACAGTATGTCATGAAAGCTCTAAAACAGGCACAGCCTTTGTTTCTTGAAAGCAGAATGTATCCTAAGGAAATAATCACGAATGTGTGCAGTGGTTCACTTGTGAGAATGATCAGCAGTATTTATTGACCACTTATTGGCTGCCAGGCCCTGTACTTGATGCTGAGGAACAAAATTGCTGCCCTCCTGGAGCTTGCATCTTGCTTTTAATGGGGAGCTCGTACGAGGCACCATACGTTGCAAAATCAGTATACTTAGAAACAACCTATGACTTCACCGACAGAGGCTTGCTCACACAAATTAGAGTTTATCCCTCAGAGCAGCTCTGAC